ATGCAAGAGAGAGAGAGAGAGAGAGAGAGAGAGAGAGAGAGAGAGAGAGATTAACCCAGTGCTTTGGTAAGTAGATTTGGCATTAATGCTATGTGCAGGGCTTTAACACTTCTCACATATTAACTCTCATACTTCCAGTGCCTTAACCTGCATATGTTCAGACTCTGATCAGCTCTCCTCACATCTCTTCATCTCTATCCACAGTTAATGACTTCACAGTGATCAGGAAGAAGTTTAAGTGCCCATACTGCAGTTTTTCTGCCATGCACCAGTGCATCCTGAAGAGGCACATGCGTTCACATACGGGCGAGAGGCCGTATCCCTGTGAGATCTGCGGGAAGAAGTTCACCCGGAGGGAGCACATGAAACGCCACACGCTGGTGAGTGCAGCACCAACAGGGAGCGGCAGTGAGTGCCAGCACTTAAAGGGATAGTTCCCCAAAAAATGACATTTAAAGCATTATTTACTCACCCTGAAGATGTTCGAAAGACGATATTTTGAAGAATGTGGTAAACCAAACAGTTTCCTGTTACCATTGACTTGGCTACTGGCAACTGTTTGGTTAACCACATTCTTCAAAATATCATCTTTTGTGTTCACCAGAAGGAAACTCATACAGGTTTGGAACAACTTGAGGGTAATAATGCCATAATTTTCATTTTGGAGTGAACTATCCCTTTAAGAGTGATTAACATAACATTGTGGAAGCAATTTCGATTATTACATCTGGATGTTTATAATTAGATCAAATGCAATTGCAAATATTTAATATAAATATCTTGTGAAAATGTTTGAATTTCAAAGCCGATAGTTTGAGATTTCTTTTCAGTTTTTATTAAAGGACTATATAGCATATGTGCTTTTCGTAAAGATGTTTGTGTGGGAGACATTCGAGTCTCTAGTGGGCCCCTATTAAATAAGCATTCTGCCATATCCCATAAACCCCTCTTATCTCAGTTTTTCTGCCCTTATTGCCAGCAGTTTAACACCTCCTCTCCTTTTTTCTTTCTTAAAGCCTGTATTTACTGTATCTTCTCAAGGGAAGCACACATAAACAAGCTTTGGCACATGTTCTTGGTCTCTGTGTGGCTATGAGATGTGCCACAGAAATTATCTCTGGTTTTGAGCATATCAAAGGGCTTGTAATAGTGTGACATGATAACAGACAGCACTGCTTCTGCTTAGCGGTGAAATGTTTAACACCTAAACATTGCTTAATTCAATGATCCACACCATGATGGATCACACCCGATATGCTACACTGCCACCGCTTCGTTATAATGTGGTGAAAAATTCAAAGGTCTGCACAAGAGACTGTAATTGGCTGAATGCTTCTCTTTCCTTGTGAATCCAGCAGCTACTGCAGATACACAGTTTTGTTTGAGATGCTTTTACAGTTTATGTATACCATGTAATGCTAATAAAATGTACCACATTTAGAGTGTGGCATTATAGCAATCTTGAGGTCTTGGGTTAGATTCCCAAAGGAATTTCTTGTGATGATAAAATGCATACTTTTAATCCAATGTAAGACGCTTTGAATAAAAGTGTATTTCAAATGCATAAAAGTACATTTCAAAGACATTATAAAGTGCAGATAAAATATACATTCTGCATTAATGTGGCAAGTTGCTATGTTGCTAGGCAACTGTAAATATCCTAATGAATTACTGTATATCAGTGATTCCCAACAAGCAACCTGTATTATTTGACAAAATAATTATTGTTAATGAATAACAGTCCGTCGATTAGCATAAATCAACTGCTCAATAAGGCTAAGATATTTCCATTTTAAAAAATGGAACCCCTAAAGGGAATAGATATGAGATGGGAGGAAAAATATACATTACTTCAATATCTTCTATCGCAATTATATCATTGGACAATTATACTGTATACAAACTGCGGGCATCAGGGAGCCATTAATAATATGCGGGGCATTGAAATCGCTTATGAACGCGTGCTTGTTTTTTACTTTCACTTTCGAGATTCGCGATCACACATACGGAGCAGCACTCGGCAGTACTACTTACCACACATTTTACAAGATTAGATGTTTGTCAGTGCTGCTCAGGATCTGCAAATCATTCGCCATTATCCTATCAGTCATCTCTCCTTATGTGGTAAGTGAAATGTTATGTACTGTAATGTAACAGGCTACCGCTAGCAAGTGGCTAACCATGTCCCTTTAGTGGCTCCGTAGAACGCGTTATTTGTTTTCCGCGCTGTTCTGAACACGGATTCAGTCACACCCCTAACCCAGTCGGGGGTGTTTGTGGTCCGCACAGAATTCTTATTTGACATCGTCCCAAGTTGCTGTAACAGTTAAATGCTAAGCAAGTCTTTTTTTATGCCACGCAAGTCTACAGTGTGCGCGTGTTCTTCTGTTGTCTTTGACAGCTTTTAGGTGCATTATTGGCAGCGCCGCCACCCTCTGCTTACATGAACGCGTCACCACCGCATCAGCACGGAAAACATGGGGAAATTTTTTAAGACAGTAAATCGCACAACCTATTCGATATTCTATAATTAAATCAACTAATCTAATATTCGAAAATCGTGACCCATCCCTAATATATAGCCTATATAAAGCTGATAAGTAGTTAAATGTGTTGGTTTACACACAAAAGAAATGTGTAAGCTTTTAATAAGTCCAAGAATAAAATGATTAATTTACTTAACATGTTAAATTTGTCTTACAGTACAGTTTGGACTTGAATAAAGAGAGAAAACTTGCACTTAACCTTTTCACAGGCATTTTGTTTTCATAGACAGATATTGTGATGTTTTGTTATAGGATTGTCTAGCAATATATCGATTATCGCAGAATCGCTGTATTCGTGATATTATTGTATCATGGGCCATGTATCGTGATTCGTATCGTATTGTGAGGTACCCTGTGATTCCCACCCCTAATGTTTAGATGGTTTAAGAAACTAGTCTTGAGCAACTAGCAGTTAGCTAAGTCTTTTTTTTTCTAATTATACTAATGTACCTTAGTATGTACTTAATGTACTTAAATATAATCAATATTCTAATTATATTCAAATTTAAATGCCATAATTTCAGTTAGGGGGAAAAAGCTTTTGGCTTCTCTCCTGAGGCCACAAGAGGGCGCATTGAGCAAAATATTAATAATGCACGTTTATTTAAAGCAATAAAATAACACGACTATCTTTGAAAAAAAGTGCATAATGTTTAAAATAAAGTTTATAAACCAAATATAATTAAGTTACTTAATTAGAAACAAAACAGCATCATGTATGTATGTATGTATGTATGTATGTATGTATAGTTTAATACAAAGGACTGAAACCCAAATCACAAAGATAACTTTTTTTCAATTTAAAAACATGAGATGCAGTGGAATAAAATCATTAAATTAAAATAAACACCATAAAATCTTGAGTCATGTTTTTTTACATTAATTTTACAAGGCTTTCTAAACATGCGGCTCTCGTGCGAGACGCGAGTGCAACAGTCATAGATGTCCCTATAGAAAATGCGATAAATAAACGTTCTGTGTGAACAGCTTGATTTCAGTTTGCCATAAACAAGATCTCCTCCGCATTGATGTTCTCTTTTTCTACAATATTTTGAATAAACAAGCTCATCATCGTATCTCGTGCGCCACTGATAAGGCTGCCTGACGCACGCCTAAAATTGGAATGCAACGTTTTTGCATTCGAATATGGATTTTTATTTTAAATTCGACAAATATTAAATTTTTTATTCAACAGCCCAACTCTGAAGAAGCTAATAGTTTCCCCAAACAGAGTTCCTAGAACTAAAACCGCTCCTAGTTCCTGAGGTGCGAACATGCCAAAAGCGGGTACTTCCGCCAATAGTACTAGGACCTATGAAAAGGTTCCTCCAGTGCGAAAGCCCCTTTAGTAAATGACCAGTGTTGAAGAATAAAGGAGATGACTAACTTGCATGCAACCAGCCACAGATTGAGTCTTAATTCCGGGAGTAAACAGGGTCACTCTATGCCTCACATAGTGGTACAATGAATATTGTACCACGGTATTATGATGGTACTGCCACAGAACTTTTTTGAAAAGAAATTAAGTGCTGTCTCTTAACAAGGCATTGTTACTCTTTCTCAGGTGCACAGCAAGGACAAGAAGTATGTGTGTAAAGTATGCAGTCGTGTCTTCATGTCGGCCGCCAGCGTGGGCATCAAGCACGGCTCTCGGCGTCACGGTGTCTGCGCAGACTGCTCGGGTCGAGGTATGGCTGCCCTGCTGGACCAGAATGGCGAGGACGGCTCGCCAGAAGAGGAACTCTTGTATCCCGGTGACCACCGTTTCCCCGATGACACTGCTGACGGCGACGGGGAAGAGGAGATGATGGTGGAAGCGGAGCTGATGGGAGAAGGTGAAGGAGAAGAGGAGAACGGGAAATGGCGGGCTGGCTCAGGGATGTCACAGCGAGACGACAGAGCAATAGACGATGGCAAAGAGGAAAGCGACTCGGCTCTGGAAGGAGAAGCCAGGGCTGGAAGCGAGAAAGATTTCAGTTGGATCTCCTAGTCCAATGCCTGGATCCTAGTCCAAGGTTGACCACCTGTTCCTATAAGGAGATATACTTAAGGCGGGGCAATCTGATCTCAGCATGTGGAAGGAGCCGGATACAAAGAGATCCTTGAGATTCCCACAGGGCTGCCAAAGGAGAGACAGTGGAGAGTCCTCTCGCCCCGACTCCATGTGCTTCTGACCCAGGCTTCAGTTTGTCTCCTTTCTTCCTTGAGGACCAAACGGGTTTCTGTGTATGTGTTTGCTATTTCTTCAGACAAAAGAGATTGTGTTGTCTCGGGAGATTGTCCAAATCAGTACTAAGCTTTGATGGGTCAGACAAAGAAAGTGTACGAAAGATGTGCTCTTGCCATATGGTCAGCTGCCACCAGGGGGCACTGGCTTATCTATTGCGCAGCAGTTCACGTCAGAAAAGACTTGCACCAGTTTTTTGTTTTTTTTGACACGTTGTTTTCTGCAAAGAGAAACTTCAACAGACTTGCACTTTAAATGTTGACTAGATTCCTATCGATTCCCTGTTTCTGTGGTTTACATTTTTATTCCAATTTACATAGATGAATATGGTGACCGCACCTACCTTTAAGGATACACAGTATGTCCTTATGACTGTTATATATGAAGATTTGTGCTAGGTTTGCTAATTATAATGTATGCCTTGTAATGTTTTATTTCGTTGCAATTTTCATTCCTGAACATTTATATCAATGGGAAAAATCATGTATATAGATACATATAAGTGAGATGTTGATTTTGTGTTCTCGACAAAAAAACGGTAAAGGGGAAGATGGGTGAACACTATGCAGAAACAAATCTTTCTAGTTCTCAACAATCTTTATTCTCTCTATTATGGGAGAGAAAACTAGTCTTCAGCAATGGCAAAGCAGAGAGACTGGAGGAGAGAGAATACGAGTAGATTTATGGAAATATTACTTGTTTTCCACTTTAATATTTCCTCATTATTTGCATTCCATAGTGGACACAGTCAGGGATGGGTATGGTTTTATAAGGAGGGTTTCCAGTGTGGTGTGTTTCTATTAAAAACAAAAACAAAACAAAAAACCAAAACCTGTATGCAAATGTGTGTATTTTGTAGGTTTGGTGTGTGTGTGGGGGGGGGGGGGGGGTGTTTATACA